CGGCGCACTGAGGTTGCGCACGGACCAGCTGGCGGCCGCGCAGGGCAGGGCCGCAGGTGAGGTGCTAGGGGGCGCCGTCGCAGCGCCACGGCCGCCTCGTCTGAGGCAACCGTGTTGTCTTGGGTCCGCAGGGCGCCGGCCTTGCGCGGGGGAGCGTCTGGGTGGCTGCCACCCCGCTCTGTTGTTTGCCTGTGCCCTCTCAATGACACGACCCTTGCTCGCAACCCTCATGCCCGGCAGGTGCCTCCCCCCTTTCGAAGCCTTTACCTGCACTCCCCACAGCACGCGAGGGCAGGGGCCCCGTCAGCCCACACCTCAAGGCGCGCCCGAGGGCGCCCGACGGCGCGCGGCCCACGGCCGCGGCGGCAGGGGGTCACGGGGCGCGTGTTGCCGCCGCGGGTGGCGCGGTGAGCGCAAGCACGGCCGTCGGTGCGGCCGGCTCGCGGGCGTCCCTGGCTTGGCTGCCGGCGTCAGCAGCAGCAGCAGCAGCAGCAGCAACAGCAGCAGCAGGGCCGGCAGGCGAGGGATGGGGTGCAAGTGCCCACCCCTGCTTGCCCAACCAAGCGCGGCCGCACGCGGACGCGGCGGCAGCGCAGCAGCAGGCAGGGGCGGGGCCTGGGGGTGTGACGCACGGGTGGCTGCCGCACGTGCTGCCAGGCGCCTACAACGCAGCCGCGTGCATGGGGCCAGCGGCCCAGCAGCCGTGGGGGCCGTGGGGCTCGCCCCATGCGGTCTGCCCGCCCAACTTCCCGCAGCAGCACGCCCACCAGCCGTACTGGGCCCAGCAGCCGCAGCAGCACCCACCCCCCAGTGACTGGTCGCACGCACAGCAGCAGCACGCCCCCTGGGGCGCCCCCGCGCCGCAGCAGGCCCCGTGGCCGCCGCCGTGGCCGGGCGCGCCGCAGTGGCCTGCGCCGCACTCGGCGCCGCTGGCGCAGCCGCAGCCGCCGCCGCACTGGGCCGCGGGGCCGGGCAGCCCGCTGGTTCCCACGCTGCTGCACTACCGGCCGACTGTGATGCGATGCAGGACGGCGTCCGCAGGAGGCAGCAGCGCCGGGAGCTTCGCGGCAGCTGCCATGCCGACCGCCGCGGAGCTCTGGGGGTACCCCTGCGCGACTGATGTGGCTCTTCGCGGTGGCTGCGACCGCGCCCGGCAGCAGCAGCATCAGCAGCAGCAGCAGCAGCCGGCGGGCAAGCATACGTGCGCGCAGCCGTTTGATGGGGCAGAGGGCGATGCAGCGCCTGGAAGCTGGGACCAGCAACTGCAACAGCAGCAGCAGCAGCAGCAGCAGCAGCAGCAGCAGTACCAGCTGCACCAGCAGCGGCCCGACGTCTGGCCAAGTAGGGGCGTTGGCCCGACCGGCGGCACCGCACCTCAACGGCTTCAGCAGCAAGGCGCGCTTGCGGCGGGTGCTGGCGGCAACGGCGGTGGTGGCGCGCGCGCCGGGAGCGGCCTCATTCACGTGGCGCCCTCTAAGCTCGGCCTGCTGCTGTCATGAGGGCGGCATTCGCGCCCTGCCATCCTGTTGTAAATGAAACTGCTCCCATCACGGTGTGTGAGGCATGGTGGGGGTTCGACACACACACCCACACACCCCTGTCTCGTCTTGGAGGCTGTTTTCTCCGTTCATGGCGAGCGCATGCAGAAGCGTCTGCCCACGCACAGCAGGCACGCCGCCACGCGCTGCCTCTCACGGCTCAAAGCTGGGCTCCAGCAGACATCAATCAGGCTCCTTGAAACGCATTGCAGAATTACATTGGTGGGTCCCAGGCAGCGGAGAACCCTGCCATAATCCTGCGGCAGGCCGCCCTCGAGGGTGGCGGGGGCCCTGGCGAGGCGTCCGCGGCGGGCCCATGTGCCCCCGTGTCGCGTGCAGCGCCTCACTTTGCCCGCGAGCGCAGCAGCTGCTCCACTCGCTGCTTGATGGCGCCCTTCGCGTGCGGCACGTACGCGCCGGCGCGGTCGTCGAAGCTGCGGAGCAGGAGCGGAAATACATTGCAGGCAGCGGTCGGCCTTACGGGCGCGGTCGAGCGGCGCATCTGGATACGGAGGAAGGCCCATGGCAGCCTGCTGATTTCAATTCGCCACAGCGCCCCGGACACCGACTGCCGCGGCCCAGCCTATCCCTGCTGCCTAGCCTGGCCGCGGGTTGCGCCGGCGGCTGGCCACATGCGGGCATGCCGGCGAACGCTCACATGAGAAGGCCGATGTGGGGCATGCTGTCGATGAAGACGCCGACATCGCGCGGCTCGTACTGCAGGTAGGGCTGGCTGGGGTTGAGCTCAAACAGGCGCTGGGGTGTAAGGGATTTGTGGGTGGGATTGAGGGGTGTGAGAGAGATGAGGGATGGCGCGAGGCAGCGGGTGCAGGGGCGGAGGCGGGGCAAGGTGCGGTGCTGGGGTCGCGCCGCGCAGGCGGGTGCGGCGTGGGGGCGAGCAGCCGGGCAGCTGCGGGCGGCCGCATGGCTAGCGCGCGCGTGCTGGGACCACGCATGCTGGCGGGATCGGCTCACTGCTTTCTGCTGCCTCACCTGCTCGAACATGCTGATGAGAGCTGCGCAGGCACGGAGTAGCAGCGCGTTGTAGCAAAGAATCAGATGTCACTCATGAACGGCACGTGCTCGCCCCCGCCCTGCATGCCCGCCGTGCGCCCCACAAAGCAATCAGAGGTTTTGGTGGCAAGCGTGCGACTGCTTCGCCGGGCCCAATCTGCCACAGCGCCCAGAAACAAGCACGCAGCAGATTCAGTCCGCCTCACATTAATGACACGCACGCCCACCCGTGATGGCGGCCTGCTCATTGTCAAAATCGTAGTATGTGCGAGTGGAGCGCCCCTTGGACTGCATCAGCAGGATCGTGTGCCGCGCCATGACGCCGGCGGCCGTTCGTGCGCCGTGCCGCTGCCGCTGCACGCCTCACGGCTATGGAGGCGCCCGCCCAGCTGCCTGCGCGCTGGTGCTGCGCTTGTGCTGCTGCGCGCCGCTGCAGCGCTGTTGCGTTGGCCCCGTCGCCGCACGGACGGACCGGCACAGACCTCTAGATAGTACTTCTATGTATGAGTCACAGAAGCGCCGCGTGCAGGCGACAAACGTTGCGAAGCTATCAAACTTCGAGACGAATCGCGCCTGATCTGAGATGTTCTTGACAATTTTGCAGCTTCGTTGAAATTTGTTTTGGGTTTGAAGTTGACCATGAGAATGTGGCAACTATCACCGCGCGACTCGTGTCTTGCCCCCATCAGGAGGCGCACAACTCCCGTGGTCTGGCTTGTGCGCACAGTCAGTCCTGAGTGCACAACTCCCGATGCTTTAATGCCTGCCACAGCACGAAACATCGAGTGGGTATTGTATCGAGTGGGTATCGTTACTTCTGATGCAGTCACTTGCAAAGTGACCAAGTTGCTGCTCGAAGGCAGGCTGCAGGCGTCAACGGCCCTGCTCGTGAGCAGATGACGTGCGACCTGAGCAGTGACAGTGCCGCTGTAGTGAACCAAGACGCCGCATAAATCGCAGCAGCAGTAGCAGCAACAGCAGCAGCAGCAGCAGCAGCAGCAGCAGCAGCAGCAGCAGCAGCTGCAGCAGCAGCAGCTGCAGCAGCAGTAGTGGCGGCGGCAGGAACAGGACAGATCCAGCACAGCGCACGCCGTTGACTTCACAGCTCGGGGCTGTGAGCGCACTGGCTTTTGCGTGTTCCACGCCTTGCGCATCGGTGGCCGCAGCACCTGTTGCGCCCTTTCAGATGCTTATTGCAGCATCTTGTGATCTGCACGGCCTTGCATTGCGACATAAAGAATATTCCAGCAGCTGCACAAACTTTGTGTTCCTCTGTGGGAAGGAAGCCGCGGCCCCATCAGGGGGCTGGCGGCCGCACGGCAGGAGGCCCGGCCGCAGCTGCCGCGCCGTCACGGCTGCAGGCTCGCTGGAACGCCAGCACCTCCGCCTCGCACTTGATAGCAGTTGTATGGGGGGTGGGGGTGAGAGGGCAGCGGCAGTGTCGAGGGCAGGCAGGGCTGCGGCTGCAAGAAAAGGGGCGGCGCGTGATGGAGGTGCGCAAGGCAGCGAGCCCGCCACGCGCAAGTTGCTAGGGTCAGCTGCTGCCTGGCTGGCCAGCCCCCAGTGCACTGCGTCTCGATACATTCCTCGTGGCGTGACGGAGCCCGGCGCCCCGCACTGCCGTGATGCGCCTGAGCGCTGGGGGCCGGGACGCACGACATGCTGCGTGCCGCGGAGTCCGGCGACAGGACCGCGCTGGCCAAGCGCCTGCATTGACTGCGGCGCCCCACCTTTTCGCGGTCGCCCTTGTTCGCCTCCAGGCACCGCCTCAAGGCGTCCACGTCGCAGGGGCTAAGGCTCTTCGCGGGAGGGCTGCCCTGCAGCCGCGGCACGACACACGTGCGGCGGGCGCGCGCGTCAGGGGCGCAGGTGGCGACAGGAGTGCGACCGGGTGACGCCCGTGAGGCCGTGTGCGGGTGGGCGCCGCATATTACCGCTTATCAACTCACCTGTGAGTCCATCTAAACCCGTGACCAATGCAAGCAGCAAATGATCTCGGTCCTGTGATGTTTGCAGACACGCTAAAAGGGCCACCAATAACCACAATCCATGAAAGGAAGATGGTTGCCATATAAATGTTGTTGTGGAACTTCCTGGGAATATCTAGTATATCGTATGCCAAGGCCCTTTGGGGTACCCCCTGTGCCCTCCCTGTGCAGCAGCTTGCAACCAACCCCACAGTCACGTTCTCAGTCGTAAGATTTTTGTCCACTTGGCCCATCACGACCCTCCGGCTGACACAGCATACTTCCCTTACGAGCCAGGCTTCCTTGCTTGGCAGCGGCACTCCAGAGGGGCCACACCCCTCTGGATAGCGGCGCAACATGGGCTGTGCTTCTTCGGTACGCCACATTGGCTTGGGGCTGCCCGTGACCCCTTGTCGGTATGCCGGTCACTCGCAGCGAACCAAGTGCCCTTTGCGAAATGACCCGTCCTGCTGAACTCTCCACCATGCAGAAACTCGCTCAAGGTGACAAGTATGGTGATGCAGGGCCCGCTGGGGCGAAGGAGCAGCAGGCGCGGCACCCTAGCGGCACCCATCAGCACGCCGTCAGCAATGGCGAGGCGCGCGACGCCGTGCCCAACGGCGCGCAGACGCCGCTGAATCTGAGCTCGGATGCGGTAGCCACGGTCGCATCGATTGGGAGCCCCGCCAAGGAGGTCTCGACGCAGGATCAGCACCAGCACGAACAGCAGCAGCAGCAGCAGCAGCAGCAGCCCCAGGAGCATGACCACGCCCACGAGCTCCGGTTGCAGGTGGGCACAAACCAACACCAGCAGCCGGAGCAGCACTACCACCACCAGCAGCAGCAGCAGCAGCAGCAGCAGCAGCGGCGCCGGCGCCGGCTCTCAGATGACCCGCGGCGCGTGCTCATCGCCCTGCCCGACAGCCCCGCCCAACAATCGGCCGACGAGTCCGCCTCCCCCGCGCCCGGCCCCGGCCCGGCCACGCTGCCCGTCCTCACCGCCGCGGCGGCGGCGCTGCAGGGCGCCCCCGCGTCCGGCGGCAGCCCGGCGGCCGCCGCCGCGCCGGCTCTGCACGCCGGCCAGGTGCTGAGTTCGAGCGGCCGCAGGTATTCCGCGCCCGGCCCGGCGTCCTCGCCCTCCGCGCCCGCGCCCGCGCCCACTGCCGCCGCCGCCGCCGCC